CCCACTGCCCCCTCTGGTGACCCCGCCCCCTCAGGCTCACCCGTCCTCCCTGTCGGACACGCCCACACCGTCGCCCTCGCCGTGCCTGAGCTGGACCGAGTTCTGTGAGCTCCACGCCCGCGTTGCGGCCGGCGACTTCGCACGCCACTTTCGGGCGTTTCTCCTGGAGAACCCCCACTACTCACCGGACTCGGCGGCCGCCTTCTGCCGGCGCTTCACCGACCGCTTCGTTCGACACTTCCAGACCGAGCTGGAGGGGGCGCTCCCACCGAGCTGCGCATCTCCTTCTGCGAGGGACGACATGGCGAGCTGGGCTCCCCAGTCAGACGCCACCTCCCTGGAAGAGGAGGCGGTCTCGCCCCTGTCGGTGTCCGGGGGCGCCGTCCTGCCGTGTCCCGCGACCAACGCGGCGACGCGGGCGCTATCGAAGCCAACGCCGACACGGCTGGTGTTGGAAACACGCTGTGGGGACCGGTTTCAAGACTCCTACGCCCACAGCCAAGTCCTGCCTCCGTCTTCCTCGTCGTCGTGCTGCTCCTCCGTGGGAGGGAACAACGGGAGGCGTGAGGAGAGAGGGGCCATGGTCGCCCCCGGTAATGGGGAAGCCCCGGTTGAGGAAGAGGAGGACAGCTGGTTAGGGGTGGTGTCCGTCGGGGAAGACGTGGAGCCTGAAGAGCAAGAAGAAGAAGAGTCCGCAGAGGTGGACGACTCCTCCTATGCCGCTCAGATCACACCTTCCTCTCCTCCGCCGGACTCCAAAGGCAACGGCACGCCCAACTCCAAAAACAAACTGAAGAAGCGCTTTTCCCTGCGGAGCGTTGGTCGCAGCGTGCGGGGCAGCGTGCGGGGCATCCTGCACTGGAGGAGCTCGTCCAGTGACTCGGCCCAGAGCCCGTTGCCCTCCAGCTACAGCTACACCATGGGCGTGCAGGACGCCGCCTTGGTCACCAGCTCCAATAGGAGCTCTGGTACGCAGCCTCCCACGCCCACCTCCTCCTCCATGCCCGTCTCCCTGTCCATGCCCCTCTCCCTCCCTCACTCCTCCTCCTCCTCGCTGCCGCCCTCGTCCTCGAGCAGTGCCACCTCCCTGTCTCTCTCGGAGGCCGCTCGGGACCGGCGGCGGAGCAACGGCGAGGGAGGCGAGAAGGAGAAGTGGAGCCATCGTCTGGAGAAGCTCCGGCTGTCTCGATCCCCTCCTCCCGTTCTCACCCCGACCGCCGGAGGCCCTCACTCCGCCTCCTCCATGCTGCCCCCGAGCAGCGCCGCCGCCGCCGGAGGCGCGGGACCTCCGAGGAAGGTGGGCCGGCTGGTGAGGGAGGGTGGCGTGAGCGTCAGCTCGTCCACCGACGAGTTCAGCGGAAGCCACGGCTTCTCGGGCTTCTCGTTCGGCCTGCTGCATCACGGTGCGGACAACAACAACTCGGCATCGGCTTCGTCGTCGGCCGCCGCCGGTCCGGTGCAGCCGCTGGTCATCGGGGGGAACGTCCCCTGGAGAGGAGGACGCTGGCACAAGTGTCGTCTGGTCCTCCGAGAGAGAGACCGGGAGGGGGGAGAGCGGGGAGAGGAGTTCTACCTGGAGTTCTTCATCCCACCTAAAGTAAGTAACACTGAAGCATGTTCACAGTCACCAGGTCGGCTTCATTTAACCCTCTGAACACCCAAAAGAGTCTCAGGGCTCATGTCACATTTTTCTCTCTTTGGCCTCGTTTTTCTCTTCAGAATAAAAGTCCTGCTCCTCTATGAACAGAACCATGATGACTAGAAGTAGAACTAGAACATGTCTTTAGTGCAGAACAACAGTTATGATGACGTCAGTCATTAAAAAGAAAAAAGTTTAATTTATTTGATAAATTATTTTACAAAATTTGGAAACCCTGGAATCTAAATATCCAACATGTTTCTAAGTGTCTACAAGTGTTACCCTCTC